GGACATTGAAGATTATCTAATGGGCATTTTACAAATGGCTTCCGAGCTGTCACGTTTTGCCACCAACTCTGTGACAATGGGTGATTATGATCGCCCCCTGAATATATCACGTTTCATGGCCGATCTGAATGCCGGCTTTCGTTTGTTAAATCTTAAAAATGATGGTCTACGCAAACGTTTCGATGCTCTCAAATATGATGTTAAGAAAATCGAAGAAGTTGTCTACGATATTAGTATAAGGGGTCTGCGTAATGGTACGGTAGCGGGAGATGAAGCCGCAGCAGTACCACCTACAGCTGAAGCTGTAGCAGCAGGTGATGATTGTCCGTTTGGTGAAAATAAAACAGAATAATAATATCCTTAATTTATAAGTGGACACTGAAATCTTTTTTTTAATTTTTTTACTACTAACCATGATATGTACTTACTTTTAAGAAATTTATTGGATTATTTTTTTTTTTGTTTTTATTATTTTTTTCAAACTTACTTGAATAAAAAGAGCATGGAGTTTGAAAAAGCTCCTTAAATGTTATTTTCACTTTTGGTAAAAATAATGAGATTTTTTTATTTAAGGCAAACTCAAGCAATGATTCTTTGTGGAGGCGAAGGGCTTTATAGAAGAGCTGGAGAGCGTCTTTATGGGCGAGCAGAAGGGAGTCTTTATAGACGAGCTGAAGGGAGTATTTATAGACGAGCTAATGGGAGTCTTTATAGACGAGCTAATGGGAGTCTTTATAGACGAGCTAATGGGAGTCTTTATAGACGAGCTGATGGGAGTCTTTATAGACGAGCTGATGGGAGTCTTTATAGACGAGCTGATGGGAGTCTTTTTAGACGAGCTGATGGGAGTCTTTATAGACGAGCTGAGCTGATGTATTTATAGATGAGTTGAAGGGATTATTTATGGACGAACTGGAGGGTGTCTTTATAGATGTGCTGAAGGGTGTCTTTATAGATGTGCTGAAGGGTGTAGTTATAGACAAGTTGAAGGGTGTTTTTATAGAATTGTTGAGAATATTTATGGACGGGTTGAAGGGAGACTTGAGAGGAATAGGAAGCCGTGTTTATGGACTAGTTAAATGCAGGAAGGCTTTATATGCGATCTGAAGGAAAGACGGTATTTATCTCATTCGGTAAATATTTCCTTCAGATCGTCTATAGAGACAACCTTTATCTCGTCTATTAAAACTCATTCAGGTCGTTTATTGAGTCTGCCTGAGCTTCAGCTCGTCTATAAAGACTCATTGCCCACCAATTCGCCTATAAAAATGCCCTGCCATTCAGCACTTCTATTATATATAAAGAATATTTCACTCAGTTCGTCTCTAAAGAGTCCCATCTTCTATAATAACCACAAGGCTTTCAAATCTTTCATAAAGTCTACCTAGTCTCCGGCAAGTCTATAAAGATTCCCGTAAGCCTCGGCTCGCATATTAATACTCTCTTTGCCTCAGCTTCTGTATAAATACTCCATGAGCTTCAATTTGTCTATAAAACCTCACTGAGCATCAATTTCTCTATAAAGTTTCCCTGGACAGTGACGAGCTAAAGCCTGTAAAAAACTCTTGGCCTTCAGCTTGTGTACAAAGACTCCCTGAGCTTCAGCTGCACTATTCCGCCTTTATGAAAGTCAGCCCATCTGTAAAGACTCCCTGGCCTTCAGCTCGTCTGTAAAACATAATTGAGCTTCAGCTCGTCTATAAAACCACCCTGAGCTTCAGCAGCAGGAAGGCTTTATAGGCGAGCTGAAGTAAAGACGGTATTTATAGTCGAGCTAATAGATAGGGTGGCTTCATAGGCGAGCTGAAGCATAGGTCATCAGGAATTCATGGTGCATCTATAGACGAGCTGAAGTTCAGGCAATATTTTTTCGTCTTTTGCTCTCCTCCGACTAGTCCACTTTCTATTTAGTATTGAAGGTATATGACCATTTATCATATCGTAGACAAAGTCTAAGAATCTTAAAAAACGAGTTCAGCTTCAATAAGTTGATATTTTGTGACTTGATAGGTTATCCGTATACGAAGAATTTCGTCTAATTTGATAAACAGGTGTTAGTTAAGCAAAGGCTTATCAAATCGCCATTTTGTAAAAGAATTATTTTTTAAACCCGTGGGCATATTATAAATTGTAAATGGCTTACTTCTTGTGAGCCGTCCGAAGACGAACTGGTCAGGCAATCTTTATAGGCGAAATACAAACGTTTGCCGACAAAAATAATATCGATAATACCGTAATACTTCCCCCACACACAGCGATTGTTGTTTTATCGACTGTTGTTGAGTGTCGATAAAACAGTTCAATTTGTTTACATTCTCTCCATTAGTACTCTCACCGTTAATTCTCCTTCTCTCTGTTTGTTTCCCCCCTTTACAAGTTCCATCATGTAATAAGTTGTTGGTTTTCCCCCGCCAATTTCATTTGTGTTTTGACCGTTGATACGTGCGGTCGGTTTATTCGTGTTTTTTTCCGTTTCGTTTTGTTCGTCCATGATCGTTAGTGTGTTGTGTGAATAGAGAAGAATTGGGGATTTTGTGGTGCGGCCAGAGATGCTGTAATGCAAAATTGTGTTCAATAAAACGAAAAAATATTGAAATATAAATAAAATAAAAAATAAGAAAAAAAGCAGGGGATAGGAAAGTAAAATAATTCCAATTGGAATTAAGTGTTGTGAGTGAGAAAAAAACAAATAACTTCACAGCTATTCTCTCTCCCAGCATCTTGTGGCAAGGAGAAAAGAAAAGTGTGTTTGATATTCTATTGAGAAAATTAACTGTAAGTGAAAACTGTTTTATATTTATTAAATAAATACTTTTGTTAAATTTAATTTCCCTTCCCCCCTTCCCACCAACCGTAAACCTTGCTACAACAGAGGCAAACAAAAAATGCACGTTGTTGGCATTTTTTGTTTGCCTCCGTTTTTTTTTCTTGGCATGTGACATAGAAAAAAAAAATAGTGGTTATTGCTGCTGTTGTTGTTGTACATTATTTATACACAATTCATTACTGGATTTTCCTCTTTTTTGTGTTTCTATTCTATTCATCCCTTCCCTTCCTTGTGTTTTGTGTGTTGGCACTTCGTTTCCACCAAGCGTGGGTATTTCTTCTATTCCAGACATGTTTGTTTTTATTTGAGGAGGAGGCATGTGCAATGACCTTTTTATGTATGTGTTGTTGTTGTTATTGTAATATCTCAAGCACAATGGGTTGGAATTTATTTCATGAGGGGAGTTTGAAAAAAAAAAAAAATATTTTTTAACAAAAATTTAGTGAACTAAAAACAGACTCCTTTGACTGCAGCTCTTCAGCTGTAAAGACTCTCTTACCTTCAGCACGATTGTAAAGACTCTGTGGTTGGCAGGTTGTTTATAAAATTCTCTCTAATCTTCAGCTCGTAAAAACGATCAGATTTTTCGGAAATTTTTTTTCCAGAGGTAGATATTTTTACCCTAATTATGGGGATATATTTTATTCTTGGGGGACGGTAACCGTTTTTTTTTTTTTTTTTTGAAAAACTTCCTAAATTTCGATCTTGGGTCCATTATGGTCCCTCTTCAATCCTGACTCAAATGATAGACCACCGACCTACCTCTGGAATTTTTTTCAGAAAAATCTGATCATTTTTACTAAACTAGAGTTATTCCCTCTCTAAAGATTCATGGGTCTTCAGCTGGTCATCTATAAAGACTCACTTCCAGTCGTATCTAAATATTTCCACCAGCTCGTCTAAAGAGACAATCTTCATCTCGTATATTGAGTCTGCCTAAGGTTTTGGAACCCGAACAGGGTTTTTGAACCCGAATTTTTTGAACAACTTCTTAAAAGTCAATCTTGGGTCCATTATGGTCCCTCTCCAATCCTGACTAAAATAATAGACCACCTACCTATCTCTGAAAAAAATCAGAAAAATCTTATCGTTTTTACTAATTTGAGTTGTTCCCTCGTCTCTAAAAATCCATGGGTCTTCAGCTGGTCATCTATAAAGACTCACTTCAACTCGTCTCTAAATATTTCCTTCAGATCGTCCATTGAGACAACCTTCATCTCGTCTATTGAGTCTGCCTGAACTTCTATATAGAGTCATCGCCTATAAAAATTCTCTGCCCTTCAGCACGTCTATAAAGACTCCCATCGTCTATAAAATCTCCCTTCAGCTTGTCTCTAAAACTTCGTCGCTCGTCTAGAAATCCTTACTTTATCATGGATTTTCTCTATAAAAACTACGTGGCTTTCAAATCTTTCATAAAATCTCCCTAGCATCCCGTAAATCTCAGTTCGCCTATAAATACTCCCCTCATACCTACCTCAGTTTGCGTAGAAATACTCCCTGAGCTTTAACTCTTCTTTAAAACCTCAATGAGCATCAGTAGTTCCTCTATAAAGTCTCCCTGGACAGAGACGACCTGAAGTCTGTAAACAATTATTGGCCTTCAGCTCGTATACAAAGACTCCCTGAGCTTCAGTTCATCTATAAAAACTCCTTGAGCTTCAGCTGTGCTATCCTGCATCTATGGAAGTCAGCCTGTCTGTAAAGACTCTTTGGCCTTCAGCTCGCCTGAAAAACTTAACTGAGCTTCAGTTAGTTTATAAAACCTCCCTGAGCTTCAGCAGCACTATATAAAGATTCCCTAGCCTTCAGCACGTTTGTAAAGACTCCCTGTCCTTCAGCTCATCTACAAACACTTCCTGAGCTTCAGCTGATCTATAAAGCCTTTGTGGAGTTCAGCTTGTCTATGTAGACTTCCTGGCCTTCAGGTCGTCTCAGGCATTAAGTTTGTCTATAAAGGCTTCTTCTTTTAGCTCATCTAGGTCTTTTATAAAGACTATTTTAGCTCAAGCTCCTCTGTAATGATTCCCTGCTAATCTGTAAAGATTATTAAAACTTAAATTCGTCCATAAGGATACCCTGCTTCATTTCGTAGATGAAGCCTCCCTGGTTTCTAGCTAGTCAATACTCACAATTCTTCGCCTATAAAGACTCCCAGGCCTTCAGATCGTCTATAAAGACAACCCGATTTTTAAAAAGTTTTTCAGACCTTCAGCTGGTCTTTAAGCTGAGAAAGTTTAATAAGAATCCTGATCTTCGTCTGTTAAGACCCCATTGTCCTCAGCTTCAGATCTTCTACAACGACTCCTTGGCCTTATACGTTTTTCCATAAAGACTTTCTGGCCTTCAGTTCGTATAAAGGGACCCCATTGACCTTCCGCGTGTCTTCAGACATCAGTTCTTCTGTAAAGACTCACTTCAGCTCCGCTAAAAGTCTTCAGCGTGACAAAAAAGACATTTTTAATCCGGAAAAAATATTTTTAATTACCCAATTTTTTTTATTGAAATTAATTTCCGACATCCTT